GACTACGCGTACACACGAAAGATCCGCTAGAGAACGAGAAGCTCTCATACACACGTACACGTACAGGTATACAGACACAGACACAGACCGTACGCCGCTCGTGAGAACACGCAATCGTCCATCGGTGCTCGAGGACGCGTTTTCGAGCTGCGATTTCGGAGAACGAGACGCGAAGATCGGGACAAATAGTCCCCATTGTCGAAATTTTCTGCTAGCCGCGCTTAGTTTTTTCCTCGTTCGCGGACATTTCGAAATGCCGAACTGAAACTGGGGGTTGAGAAGAGTATATATATACACACACACACACGTTCGTCTCTGCGCGAATCGACGGTTGAGACCGCGTCGGATGGAAACAAGGTTGACTTCACTTGAGATTCGCTTGCGATGGAACTTGTCGGTCGCGGCTTGCGTGTTTCAGCACGGAGAGAAAGAGAGGGAAAGGAGGAACGGAAAAATACGAGACACGAGAAAAATATGGTATGCGTGTATAGAACGTTAGGATGGTTAACAGCGTGGCAAAGTGATGTTCGAGATGACACTTTGCGCGAGCGTGATTGCAGGATCTCGACGTTGAGGGATAAATATGATGAAACAAATAAAAATCGGAGAGAAAGACTTGTCCGTGACTCTTGAACCACGTTGACACGCGTTCTGATCATTATGGGTACTACGCCTTGTTTCGTGTAAAATGACGTTTTGTTTCGGTTCTTAGGCGAACGAATGCATATCATAGTTGTAAATTAACGATTTGTGAAATAAAAGCTGCAAACTGTTTGTGTTAACAATAGGTCATTCAGCCTGATGTCTTTTTCCGTACAACTCACACCTGCCCGTTCAGTTGCCGTCCGTAGTGTAGCTTCAAAATGGCTTCTGCTCCTTTTCTTTCGATGCTCTTCCCTTTTACGGTGGAACGCTTTCGATTTCCTTTCTCTGATATTTCATTATCGTTTTGTTAGAGATACACGCTGATCGTTGGTTTTCTGTTATTTCGATATCTAACTTGAACGTTCTTAACAAACGTCGAGACGTGTATACTACACACCGCCACCTCGGTGTCCCGTGTGTCAGGGGTGATAAAGCGAAGGAGTAACTCGCGTACCCACGTGCGCGGGCGTGAATCTTGGTAAGTTCCTCCTATTTTGAAAATCTAATCTTTTATCCGTTTCTTATATGTATTCTAACATATATTAACACTGCATGCTTTTCTCTATAATCTTATATTATAATTTCCACATCTTTCTTTTGCATCTCTGTGTCTGCTGGTATACTCACCGTAGTTACGTATCTCCATTTCTTCCTTGCTGGTCGAGATAATATGTAAATCGAGGAGAGATATCATCGCGATAGAGAGCATACTTTTATTTAAATCGCACCTATTCGAATCGGAATCGCGGGTTCTAGATCAGTAATTGTTACGATCTTATTATTTCGCCAGTCATTATCATCGTGCCACGTCCGAATTTATTTCCTCTCGTACACGCCGCGGAACTGGGCCAAGCTGTAATTTCGAATCGATAGGAGGTGGAAAAATTTCATTAACATGAAACGGTCTCGAGCGGAGCATCGCGTGGTGCGTCTAACTCGGAAGCACACAGGCTTTCGTTTCCGTGTTGAATTTTAGAAAGTCGGAATGTTTAATCGCGAGCACAAATAACTAGGCACCATTCGACACCGTTCTATTTCGTTTAACGAGATTCGTATAACACTTCTACCGATTTGGATCTATAACTTTGCCCAGGACACTGTGCACAGGGTGTCAAGAATTTCGCGATCTCTGTCGCGATCCTCATTTTCGGATTGGACACTGAAAGATTGACCTCATCCGCCTTCTCTTTCCTCCTAGCTTCCTTTGAAACTGGTCGTGCTTTCAGCGAGCACGAGGTCACGAAACGTTAAGAAAATTAGAGGAAACCAAGGTCAATTTCGCGGTCCAGTATCCCTATAGATCTTCACCGATCCGAGGATGCAGAATCTCGCGTAGAAATCGCGACGTTAAAGGATCCTTTGCGCGAGGAGACATGTCTCATCTCGTAAAGATCCGTTTACTTTCTCGACACCCTGTCCACCAATTCGAATCTACTCAATCGGGAAAGCAACGTACATTTTCCCACCACCGAAACTTTCGTGAAACCCGAATACACCTAAATCCTGTCAATCGGTGATCACAAGAAAATCATCCCCATCGGCAAGTGGGCCGATGCGAATTCCATCTAACAGACCACGGTAATTTCAGGTGTCGCTGGCCCTCGGTTTGGAGGCAGGGGGTTGGGGTGCCCTTGTGGAACGCTCGGGTGGTGGCGGCGGAAGCGGTTCCCTGCTAGGTCACGGCGGTTTCGCCAGTCTGGCGGGGTTGGCGCGTCGCTGCGGCGTCTGTCTGGCGACGTTTCCTTCCGCCTGGTTGCTGGAACGACACGCGTTGCTGCAGCACGCTGGCCAGGCCAGCGACGACAAGCCGTTCACCTGCGAGCAATGCGGCCAACGCTACCGCTACCGATCCGCTTACGTGAAGCACCGAGAGCAGAACCATCGGGCCCGTCTGCCGGCTGACAAGCTGTTCACCTGCGACGTCTGTGGTATGCAGTTCAGGTATCTCAAGTCGTTCAAGAAGCACCGGCTGAACCACGCGCTGGAGCGACTGCAACGTGCTCCCGAGCCTCAGGGTAGCGCGGTGGCAGTGTCAGCAGCGGCCGAGAGGAGCGACCAGGTGTCCAGTACCGGGGAACCGTCTCAGGTAGAGACGGGGAGCGACACCACCACCAACCCGGGCGAGGAGGAGACCAGAGGCACCTTCAACGAGAACGCTCGCGAGGAGAGCGTCTCGGAGACGGCGAGTGTTCACGAGAACCCCGGCGAGGCTGTCGAGGTGCAGATGACAGAGGCTCCGACTGGCAACAGCGGGTCAGCGGGTGGCGGCAGCACCAGCGAGGTCGGCGACGCGGATGACAACGCGGTGGACGACGACCGGTCAGAGGCGACCGATCCTGTGATCAGCCTGGCACGCAGCAGCCACGAGGTTGACAGGCGCGAGCGCCGTTTCGCCTGTCCCTTTTGCGGTAAGTGCGTCCGGTCCAAAGAGAACCTGAAGCTCCACGTGCGAAAGCACACCGGTGAAAGGCCGTTCGTCTGTCTGTTCTGCGGACGCGCGTTCGGTGGGAAGAGCGACCTGACCAGGCACCTCCGCATCCACACCGGCGAGAGGCCGTACCACTGCGAGATGTGCGGCAAATGCTTCGCCAGGGCGGACTACTTGTCCAAGCATCTCACCACGCATATACATCAGCGTTAAGCCGCGAGGCTAGACGATACGTGGACGTTCTCGGGTGCTGCTGCGTCTCGCAGAGATCGGGGAGGGTGTTCCAGGTGGTCCAGGTGAATTCCGATTTCTAATACGAGGCGTCGAGGCGCGAGGTGTCGCCACCGGGTCACGAGGTTTGCGTCGTTGCGATTTTTAGTTAGGATGATAGCTAGCTGTGGCGACCCTCGCTCCATGTATGCGCTTCGGGGTCCGACTGCGGATCACTCGGGTACAACGATCTAGATAAACGAATCCTCTTTTCCTTACGCGATGCTTGCGAGCTCTGTGCTTCCTGGACCACTTCCGTGGGACACCCTTTCCGTGACACAGAAAGTGGTAGACACTCGCTAGCTCGAACGAAGCGAGCGTTTAGGGTCAGAAGGAACGTCAACGTAGAGCGAAGGTAGTATGTTCGTCCACGCGAAATTCCCGTTCTTCTCCGGTCGAATGAGAGGAACTCCGTCGGGGACTTCGGAGGATGCGGAAGATCGGCATATTTTTAAGATACCGTTCGATTAAACTAAGTATTCGTACGAGGACATGTCCTCGGATCCATCTTTCGAGGTTCGTTGAACTTGCCACTTTTCACGAGTTCTTACCTCTATCCGGTGCGCGAGCGAAGGGAAGCAAGGTTCGAGAATGTCCCGAAAAGAAGAGGAGAGGAGAGGAGAGGAGAGGAGAGGAGAGTGTCCATCGGGACGAGTCAATTAGAGAGAAAGGAAGAATGAAATCGTCGACGACGACGGCTGAAGACGAAGACTGCGAGGAAGTCGACATTCAGAAGTGAACCAGAGGAAGAGGATAGAGGAAGATTTCTGCGTTACGTTAGTGAGACTAACTTGTGATAAGGATTCGAAACCAAAGAACGCGACGGACGAACGTCGACGGTGACGGTTGTCTTCTTCGTCTTCGTGCACCACCGATGAGCCATCACGTAATAGCTGTCAGCGTAATCGATGCGATTTTTATACAGTGCACGCGATAACGATCATTCTTCCGTATGCAGTCTGGGTCCAGTCGCCGTGTCTAATTGGACGGGAGAGTCCCCATATAGATAAGCCTAGTGCGTCGCATGCATGATCTAGATCATCGATACGATCGAATACCATAAAATGGCGCGTCTGGTCCTCGCTTCGAACATTTGGCACAATTGGACTTTTTAATTATTCGAGAAATATCGGAGAAATTAATCGACATTCCTGAAGAATGATGTCTTTAAACGAACACGTGATGTTTCTTTGAGAATCACGCAGGGAGGAACACCATAGTCCCGGTTTGCACGGTTAGAGGATAGATTTGTCAGAATTTGACAGAAATCAGAGAAACTGCTCGATCGCTCGACTATTCCAGTGCTCGAATGTCAGGAAATATTGAATTTCAGGAATTAATTAACAGGAGGCAACGTTTGGTCCTCGTTACGAATACAATCTGCGTTGCACGTGTAACCCGAGACTATTCTACGCTAGTGGAGGATTCCTCGCGGCATCTCGCGAGAAACAATCGTGTTCGCTATTCTTCCACCGAAATTAATTAGCCACTCAGGGCCACGACGCGACACGGACTGCGAATGTCACGAGCGCTTTCTTGCTTCACAATTTCGCCTGGATGAGCGTGTGCCTGCATCTTTACGCTCGCCATCTTGACAGCGAACTGCGAGCCCGGCATATGTGGAGCAAGAACTCGAGGAACAGAGACGATACGCGAGAACGGATCGAACCAGCATGATCCTCGATGATCCGACCGGTATAATTTCTCTTACCCCGTTAAGAAGACACCGTTTTCATAGCCTAAAAGAGCGATAGATCGTGTCGGAGGATAGTCATCTCTACACGTAACAACGAAGCTGCTCCGAATGATCGGATAAGGCCCGAAAGATAGCATTCCGTTGGCGAAGGACGCCTGAGGGGATCCTGGAATAATGGGAAAGCCGGAAAGACGCAGCAGAGCGAGGTCTCCCGTCCAAAGGGCGCAGCGACGAGCTCAGACGGTGGATATGGTAGAGCGAAGGATAGGCGCGAATGACGCCAGGTCCTTTCCGGAAGCGTTGCCGGTGCCTTGGAAAGCCAGCCGTGTACCCTTTTTAAACCTAGCGACGTAGCAATAAAGCGTGTGTTTTTCCGTTGCAGCCGTGACGCAAAGCAGAGGAACCGTGTGTTCTTTCACGGTCCCTACGGTCCTTGCAACCTCTTCTTAGCCAATGTTGTCCATTCTGCTGTCTACGTGTATATATATATGTCCCCGATACGTGTACGCATATATATACATACATGCATATACATACATCGATAACGATAGATCGTCCAGCGGGAATCTATGCGCATGCGCAGAACGAGAGTGCCGGCTCATTCTCATGGGACCTGGTCTCGCAAAGCCGGGGCCACGTCGTTCGCTCGTTCGGGGAAGGTGGGCTCGAGTTCGTAGGTTGCGTCACGAGCCAAACCCAGTCCCGAACTACCCTCGAAGCCTGTGCACAGAATTCGTCGCCGAAAATACACTTAAACTTGTTAGTCGTTCGTAGCGTTCGTTCATCTCCCATCGGACGCTGGACCGTCGATCGCGCGAGATCGACCAACAACTTCCGTCCGGTTCCCTGATCGGGGTTTGCGACCGAACCCCGGGCTCACCGTCGCGCTTATAACTTATTCACGAACCCCCGGTTAAACTATCCGACCTGGTGAACCAGACCAGAGAGATGGATCCGCGGATAGACGCGCATGGACCCCGGTGCGTCCACCGTTGGGAACGTGGATCGATCACCTGGACCGATGCTAAATTATTCGGCGCGTTATTCCGTCTTCTAAAATAGACATTAAATTAAGGATAAGTAATGAGATCTACAGCGATCGTTGTTGCAAACGTGCCGTCCCAGTGCCAAGTCTCGTTTACTTTTCGTGAAAGTTACCGCATAGCTTGCGCCGATCTTTCGTCGTCCGGGTGATCGATGGATATAGATGGAATCTAGGACCGGCGATGATGGCGATCGTTCGGTCGCCGACGACCTCGATCATAGACGACGCGGGACGTCCCGCGACGTTCCCCTGTCCCCGGATCGTGGGATATGATAGCCGTGAAGGATGCGTAAACAGAAGGTTCTTCTATATTTTATTCTTGTACACAACTTGCCTCGTTTTAGCGAACGCTGTGATTTCGTGATCGTTGCTCAAACCTGAAACCGAGAGCGGCAACTGCTGGCAGGTTCGTTGGCCCTTTGAGAATCCACCTGGACGATCCTCTGGCCACGAATCCGTTGTTGTTTCTGAATTACCACGGCTCCTTGTCGCGTATTTTTGAATATTAACCCCCTTTACCGCTTAGACGCTTTTTTCTCTCTATATATAATTAAGAAGTATTAATATCCTTGACTCTTTACAAACTTTAACGAAATGCTTCTCACTGTACCATATATAAAGTCGCAATCGCGCACTCGGATAGGTAGCAAAGGTGTATCGAGTGTCTATGTCGAGTGGTAGGATCGCTCGTGTGATTCAGAAATAACGTGGTAATTCGAAGATCACAAAGTAGAGTTGTAACGAATGGTTAACGATAATTTCGTTAGTTCGACCGAGAATCCACGGATTGTTCGACCAATCTTGTTGCCCGATCATTTGGTTCATTTCGCGACGTGAAAATAGCACCCTTCGATGAAACATCGCCACGTGGAAGGCAAAGGGCTAAACGACCCCAGTTGGTCCGCGGTTTCGTACCAAGTTCAAGTCGATCCTTCACCCGCATGGGTCCCACGTCGCGGCGAACTTCGCGCAGAACTCCGCAACTTCCGGGGACACGCGATCACGTCGCGCGACTCGTCGTCAGCCGCGAGAAAACGGCACCGGTTACCAAAGAAAGTCTCGCGAGTCTGATCCGAAACGACGAAGAAGAAGAGAAAACGACGTGGGAAGAGAAACAGAGTCTCGAGAAAGACCGGACTCGGACGCGTTGCGAGGCCAGGTTGCTCTGTCTCCGTCAGAACTAACTAGGTTTAGTCCTCTAGCTAGTATATTTACGACTGCACTCGCTGCTGTGTGTACTGCGCGCATTCGTGAAACGAAGTCGAATAACGAAGGTGCTATCTAAGGGAATAGTGGGTCGCGGGCCGGCGGCCGGCGGTGACAAAATGGCCGGCGGTGAGGAAATGGCCGCTCGCGCGTAGGAAGGTTCACGGTGCCAAAGAAAACGACTATAATAACGAGTAACTAATTACACGCGTGGAGAGAAACGCTGGTGCGTGTACCGATGGTGGATCGGTGTCGGTCCACGTTAGAAAATAGTAAATGGGGGAAAGCTCGCGGAAGCTTGGCGTTTCTCTCCGAGCGGGCTGGTCCGGCGCCGCGACAGGTCGGTTTAGTCGATAAATTACGTATATATATATATTACATAGTCGAGTCGATTAAGGGTGTAAGTTTTACTACAACGACGAACGTTCCATGGCGGACGTGCGCGAACGAAGGAAGGCGTAAATGGCCGCGAAGGGGTGAGCCATGCGAAAGTGGTGTTACAAGAAGCGGAGGGAAGCAGGCAGATGAAGAACATGTCCAACGAATGTCAACGAGTTTCAAACCAAGCAAACAAACAAAAAGAAGCGAAAAAAAGATAAAAAACGAAAAGGAAAAAAAAAAGCAAACGAAGAAAAACGTGAACACACGTGCGCGCGTAGGGAGGAGAAGAGGGAGAACGGAGAGAGCGAGGATAAAGGGTGGCGGAAGAAAATAGAGGGGTAAAAAGAGCGAAAAGGGAGGCGCTAACAGAAGATACAAACGCGGCGAGACTTTTAATTTACGCCGAGTTTGTCCATCCCGTGCGCTCTCGAAAACGCCGCTCGACAGGACCGCGTATCGTGTCCGTCTCTCGCGCGTGATTAACGATCCAAGGATTAAGGAAAATAGTTCCATGACGCCTGATGCCTCTGTTAGCTTTTATACAGGCAACCACGTCCGCCCGCTGCCGCTCCATTTCCACTGCACGCCAGATTTACTGCGTTATGGACGGCCGAG